TGCTTTCCTTGTGGCCTCTTCATGGTTCCCATTTGCCTGCAGGATCCCAAGGTACTTGTAGCTGTCCTCAACATCTGCTATGTTGCCTTCTGGTAGTACAATCTTCCCTCTCCTTGTTACCATTTGACCACACTTATCCAGTCCGAATGACATTCTGATGTCCTGGCTGTAGAGCCTAGTGGTGTGAATCAGTGAGTCAGTGTCTCTGGACAAACTGGATAGCTCAGTGGATAACACCACTGACTTTAGTATGGAAGGTTGGGGGTTTGAACCATAGTCAGGGCAAGGTCAATATCCAGCTTGGGTCCTTAGGCAAGGCCTTTAAAGCTATCACACCGGCTCGGACGTCACACGGGTCAACAAGGTCTGCGTCAGGTGTTAAGGAACCAGGGCAACAGAGCATGCAGAGGATGTGGGACCTATGGATACTTCGAAACCCAACATCTACACTAACATCGAAGCAACTAGTAGCTCAGTGCTCTAACATCCGCAAAAAGCACCTGCTATCACAACTAGAGATTGACGAGATATAACACGAATGCTCCAGCAAGGGGGAGCCAGGATGCCAGGTCAGGGGGGAGATATCATCATCATCATCATCACCCCCACAATTGGAGATTGGGTACCAAGCCCCAATAACAGGCCTGGATGAACTTGATTCAAGGGCTGCTGACCTGAGATTGAAAATCATGAGCAAGATGGACACCTGGAACTCCCGTGGCCGGTTACCAAGACTAGGTGATGTGCCTTCTGAAAGTCTACTAGATGATGTAAATGCAGCACTAAGAACAATCCCTACTACGACCATCACTGAGACCAACAAGCTCATATACATCACAGCAACCGTGATCCTTGAGAGGCTTGGCTATAAGTTCAACAAAGGCCATAAGGAGCAGTATCCTCCATGGAGAAGGAGATTGGAGACCAAGATCAAGGCAACAAGGAGAGAAGTTAGCCAGCTATCGGAATTGCAGAAAGGTGTGATGAAAAAAGGGGTACCTAAGAAGTACAACTCACTGTCCATACCTGAGCCCTTAGAGACTGCCAAGCAAAGGCTCACAGCCCTGGCCACCTGGCTGAAGAGATATACCAGAGAAGTTGAAGCCAGGAGAATAAACCGAATGTTCTCCACTGAGCCATCCAAGGTGTACTCTCAGTGGCAGGGTAATAACATGACAGCAGACCCACCAAGGCTGGAGACTGAACAGTTCTGGAAGAGCATATGGGAGATGGAGGCATCCCATAACAACAATGCCCAGTGACTGGTGGACCTAAGAGCAGACCACAGCAACCTCCCCACACAAGACCCAGTAATCATCACAATGGCAGACATTCAAGAGCGGGCCTCAAGTATGAAGAGCTGGACAGCACCATCACCCGGACATGATCCACACCTACTGGTTAAAGAAGCTAAGTTCACTCCATGAGTGCCTGGCGGGACAAATGAACCAGCTACTAATAGATGGAACCCACCCTGAGTGGTTAACTGAAAGCCAGACAGTCCTGATCCTGAAGGACCCATAGAAGGGAGCGGTACCATCCAACTACCGCCCAATAACCTGCCTCTGCACAACATGGAAGCTCCTGTCAGGCATCATAGTAGCTAAGATGAGCAGGCACATTGCTCAATACGTGAGCAGGGCCCAGAAAGGAATTGGTAGTAACACCAGAGGAGCAAAGCACTGTACAACATCGACAGGACTGATGAAGAGCCTTCATCAAGAACTCAATGGGAATGTGGAAAACAACCCTAGAGGCCAACTTCAAGCCAACTGCACAAGTCAACATCAAGTGCGGTATCTACCAAGGAGATGCTCTGTCCCTGCTGCTGTTCTGCATAGGGCTGAACCCCCTCAGCCAGATCATAACCAAGAGTGATTACGGATACCGACTACGGAATAGAGCAACCATCAGCGACCTCCTCTACATGGATGACATCAAGCTGTATGCCAGGAGTGAACGAGACATTGACTCACTGATCCACACCGCTAGGATCTACAGCCAGGACATCAGAATGTCATTCGGACTGGATAAGTGTGGCCAAATGGTAACAAGGAGAGGGAAGGTAGTCAGAACTGAGGGGATTATATATATATATATATAGCTTCTCGCTAGCTCAGTTAGCATTTATGTTTATTGTGTTCATTCATGCTTTTGTATGCTGATCATTTGAGGATCATGCTTATATGATATTTTAATTAAGTTTTTGTCTTCTCTCTTTATGCGTAGTTCAGCTTAATGTGACACCACAGATTTCAGATCTTTTTTTTTAGAGAGTTGTAAAAGTTGCATGTCATTTTTATTGGGGTTTTAAAGTCCTGATATCAAACTCAGTAACAGTAAACTTAATGTACCGACTCTCTTCAGGAGGTAACCTGGATATAAGGTAAACTTTACTGTCATTTGCATTTTTGGTTAGTTGTCAGAACTAAATTAGATGTTATTATATTCAGATCTAGTAATATCTCGATGTAGATGCTAGTACATTCTTCTGCTTATAATACACTTTTCTTCTTATTGAAAATGGATGAATGGTAGTTCTTTTAGTGTATGTGCATTTCTCTGCTCAGTGTGTGTTGAATCTCCCTGGGTTATATGTATTGGTGTTAAAATCTGCTCTCACAGAAGTCACAGATTTGCCTGCATAATGACAATGAATAGTACACTTCCTGGCAGAGTAACGTCATTTGATTTAGCTGCTTGATGCTGCTGCTGCTGCTATTTTTGGTTTATGTGTGTCTTGACAGGACCGTGCCTGTGGCTTAAGAGACAAGTGTGGGTTTAAGTGTAAGTCTGTAGAGTGCTATTTTGTAATGTTAATACCAGTTTTGACATCCTGATAAAGGAAATGAGATTTTATTTTAGTCTAGTGACTATTATTTGCAGGAGTATTTGCTCCTGTGTTGTGTTTTCTCTTTGCAGGTCAGAGAGGCCCAGGAGGAGGTGAGACCCCCTCATGAAGGAGGTTCGAAAAGGAGAAGATGTGATCCAAGGGAGTCCTTGGGTGAGGAGGGAGTTTGAGTGAAGCTGAATCGAGTGAAGCTGATGCTCCCCCTGACAAAGCTGGTTATGACCCAGCTGTGTTCTTATCTATCTGACCCTCATGAGGAGGGAGTGCAAGTCAGAGGTGCTGAGGTCAGTCATGCTTAGAGCAGTCGAGAGAGAGACATTGCAACCGGTGAGGATGGAAGAAAGCTAATGGTGTTGAGGAGGTGACAGAGTGAAACTGCAAGGAAGTGAACTGATCAAAGGAGAATGGACTTTGACATCACATTTTCATACATTCATACTGCACACAATTCTTGGATAGCAGTTATTTTGTACTTTGTCATTCATACATTCATTACTTAATTGTTTATATCACTGAGTATTTTCATCTCGGATGTGTCCATGAGCAGAAGATTTTTGGTCTGAGTTTGTATTCTCATATATAGGGGAGCTGGATTACAGCATTTGTAATAGGCAACACTTAATGTGTATACAGGTAGTTTAATCACAGTGTTTGTGTTATAGCTATGTTATATTTTGAGTTCAGTTTCAGGATTTTCACTGTCTGTTTTGGTTATAATCAGGTTCACTGCAGGCCTTGATGGTGATCGCCCAAAAGAGTCTCATGGGGACGGTTTCCCCCAATATTCCCTTTGATTGGGGTTTTTTAAGTCCCTGGGGGATTAATGGGGGTCGTTCAGGAATTTTTCCAAAAAAGAGTAAACAAAAAGAACAAGCAATAATTGAAAATAAATAAATGTATAAATAGATAAATACTTACAAAAATAATGGGGTTTTTTTTGCCTGAACGTGCAGTGAAGTGGAATAAAATGTATAGCCCAAAAGGGAAGGAAAAGAAATGTGATAAAGAAAATGTGAGTGCATTGAAGCTGTGTGTTGTCTAGAATAGACTTGTGAATAGGGAAAACTGTGTTTTTATCTTACAAGGGGAACAGAATCACCATCTCATGTTGTTCATTTTTATGTTCATGTCTGTTTATTTGTAGTCTGTTTTGCATAGGAAGGGAGGTGTGTTGTGGAAAAAATATCTTTTAAAGGTCAGTGAGTGTAAAATAAATACTTAACATCAGTTCTGAAAGTTATTACATATTTATTCCTGCAGGAAGGAAGTTTCTCTGAACAGAGTGTCTAATACAGTCTGTTACAGGGAAGCTCAATGGACAGAGTGTGTGAGTCCTTCTTATACTCAGCCTACAACAAAGAAGACAGATGCTCAAACAGATAAAGGAAACTGGATACAATTTACATCAGGATACCAGCCCTTTAGTCCCAGGTCACATCTGGTTTGGCAACCAAAAGGCATACAAAGGTTTATGACCATGCAATAAATAGTTTGGGGTCACAACCACACAAATGACTGCATACAATGACATGAAAGTCACAGCTAAAGAACTTAAGGGGTGCTATTATAAAAACTGCCACCACAGGTGGCACTTCATATAGTTAATTTGTTCACCATAGTTAATCACTGCTAACGTTGTAAAGGTGTGAGAAGTTAAAGATTTGCGTGAATGGGTTGTTTGATGAAATTAAGCTTTATTAGAGTATGTGAGAATACTTTGCTTAGTAGTGTTACAGTCTCAAACAAACATGTTCATGTTTTGGGTTTTCGCTTTGTTTTTGTTTACTTGTTTATTTTGCAGAGTTTGGAAGTTCTGTGGCCTTTAGACCACAGGGGCAGGGACTGTAGTGGTTTCAGTTACATGTTAATATGGATTATGTAATAGAATAGAATGTTCATGTGTTCACTTTCAAGTTCATGTGAGCTGGACAATGAGTTTATATAATTTGGCCAAGCTGTTTCCTGTTTTGGGGTACATCTCAGGGTGTTGTCTCCTAAAACTGGAAACAGGAAGTTAAGTTTGGAAATTGATGTAACAGCCGAAGAAAGCTGTGGATAAAAAGAAGAATGCTGCTGCAGTAATGAAGTGTGTGCACTTTTTGACCCAGGCCTGGGTGGGGGGAATGAACTCTGGACTGACTGGACCCCTGACCAAGACTGACTGATTCTGTGACAATCTTCTTATTTAATACTGTATCTATTCCATTGCAGGAGTGATTCTGTTCTCTGTTCCCTAACTGCCAGATTGCGGGACTGTCTCCTAATTTATCGACCTGTTCAGAATTACTGTAATATTATAATGGTTATATAAACTGGGATGATTTGCCTGAATTAATTTAGTTTGTATCAGATCCTAACTACTACAAAGCACAAAGAAACGATACAGTTTCTTGTCATGCGTTAACCACAGCATGAGGTGGTTGGTCAAACATGGGGTCAAGATTGAATGGGGGGCAGGGTGAGTGGTTGAGTGGTCAGCACAGTGTGCAGAAACTGCTGCCAGATACTCTGCCCCCTAGGAGACATCTGTTTCCTTTATCTGTTCCTGAACAAGAAGCCATGACAGATTATATTACAGAGGCTCAGAGGGCAGGGTTGATTCATCCCTCATCCTCCCCAGCTGGGGTGGGGTTTTTCTTAGTAGGGAAAAAGGACAGTGGACTTAGACCCTGCATAGACTATCGGGGGTTAAACAAGATTACGGTCAAGAACAGATACCCCCTGCCTCTCATGTCATTCGCTTTTTAACTGCTCCATGGTGCACAGATAGTCACCAAACTGGACTTACAAAATGCTTACCACCTAGTGCGCATAAAGGAGGGAGACAAGTGGAAGACTGCTTTCAGTACCTCGTCTGGACACTATGAATATCTGGTCATGCCATTTGGGCTAACCAACGTGCCAGCAGTTTTTCAGAACCTGATTAATGACATTCTGGGAGAAATGATAAACAAGTTTGTATTTGTGTATTTAGATGACATCCTCATTTTTCGTCCTCAGAGTCCAAACACGTCGCTCATGTCAGAGCTGTGTTACAGAACAACCTATATGTAAAAGCTGAAAAATGTTGCTTCCATGTTTCTACTGTGTAGTTCCTGGGGTTTGTGATTTCCACAGGTCAAATCCAGATGGATCCTGCCAAGGTCCAAGCAGTGACAGCATGGCCCACATCTACTTACCCTCAGCAAATACAACGGTTTCTAGGATTCGCCAACTTTTACAGGAAATTCATTAAGGACCACAGTTCCATTGCTGCTCCCCTCCACAGACTCACATCCAACACAAGACGATTCACCCAGGATTCCACGGCTGACGAGGATTTCTTGGCCCTAAAACAATACTTCTGTTCCACCCCTATTCTCACCCTGCCTGACCCGAAGAAGCAGATTGTCTTGGAGGTCGACCCATCAGACTCTGGGGTAGGGGTGGAGTTGTCCCAGCGCTCCGCTCAAGACGGGAAATTACACCCCTGTGCCTTTTTCTCTAAGCGCCTCTCCCAGGCCGAGAGCAACTATAGTATCAGAGAGAGAGAACTGCTAGCCGTAAAATTGGCTCTGGAGGAATGGAGGCACTGGTTGGAGGGTGCCAATCAACCGTTCCTAGTCTGGACTGACCACAAGAACTTGGAATACTTACAAACGGCCAAACGGCTGAACCCGTTAGACAGGCTAGGTGGGCTCTTTTCTTTGACCGGTTTAACTTCTCCCTCTCTTTCCGCCCAGGTCAATGGCAAGGCAGATACCCTGTCATGCTTGAAACTTCCGGCGCCGACAAAGATGGTGGCCGTGGATACTCGCGCTCTCATGCGTTTGTTGTTTTTCTTTGTTTTCTTGGTCTTTTGCAACTGATCCCGGATTACTTTTGCCAGAGAAGAACAGTTAAATATCAAACAACTCACACCAAACTACCCTTCTCTGATTTTTGTGAACGATGAATGCTGTATGGACATTCATCACAAACATTCAGCAGCGATATACGAGACCTGGAAAAAATGCCGCCGCGTGGAAATGCTCTAGCGCTTTGGTGCGATTACGACGGAGGGGAACACGGACCTCACTCCCATCTATTCACCTGGCTAATCTCTGCTCTCTGGTCAACAAAATGTTAGGTAATTTCTTAGTCAGATAGATATTGATTAGATACTTGTTGTATTAGGAATGTTTAGCGGAGCCAGGCTGTCTAGCTCAGGCTGTTAAATGCTTAGTCATTGGCATGAGTTCTGCAGGCTGCATATAGGCCAAGGTCAACTAAATAGAGAGAGTCTGCAGGCAGGAGGTTATTGCTATTATTATGATATGTTTAGCCGTAATCTTAATCATAATATCTTCCGAGGCTTAATGTCCGGACATGTCCCTGAATGTCCTGTATGTTTTTAGATACACACCACATAATCAACACTCACACACATTGATTTTCTTCATGTTTTGACTATTGTTATGGTCAGCTGCAAGCTGGCATATCAGGTGATGTCACGGTTTGACGTGCCTGTGTAGAATGTGGTTAGCCCAAACCAGATAAATTGTATAGAGATCTGGGGTTCAGGGTGTTTTTTCATTCTCTGTCTGCCTGCGCGCAGTATTGGAGGTGGAAGATGCCTGGACGTGTAATGTTAATTTTACCTGTGATTCTTTGAATAAACCAACACGGTTATTTTTTATGTATCCAAGTGGTCCGCTTCGTCTCTCTGAGTTCCTGGTTAAAAGAACTGGGTAATATCTTTCAAAATGAATGAAATTCTTCTCGTCAACAGGACTAACTCTGACTTTGCACGCTCTGTTGCTTTGTGCGTCACGGAGACCTGGCTCAGTGATTCCACTGCGAACAGCGTGATACAAATACCGGGGTTCCAGGTGCACAGAGCGGATCGGGCAAAGGAGCTGTCCAGGAAACTGAGAGTCCACTCATTGTTCTAGGGGACTTTAACAAAGCAAATCTCACCCACGAACTGCCCAATTACAGGCAGCACGTCACCTGTCCCACCAGGGACAAAGTCACACTGGACCACTGCTACACAATAATAAAAGACGCCTATCACTCTGTCCCCAAAGCAGCCCTCGGACTCTCAGATCACTGTATGGTCCATCTTATTCCAACCTACAGGCAGAAACTTAAAGCTGTGAAGCCTGTAGTCAAAACAGTGAAGAGCTGGACTG